CACCATACACAAAAACTAACTCAAAATGGATCAAAGACCTAACTATAAAATCTAAAATGATAAAGATCATGGAAGAAAAAATAAGGAAAATGCTAGGGGCCCTACTACATGACATAAATAGGATACAAACCATAATTAACAATGCACAAATACCAGAAGAGAAACTAAATGTCTGGGAGCTCCTAAAAAATTACACACTTATGCTCATCAAAAGACTTCACCAAAAGAGTAAAAAGAGAACCTACAGACCGGGGGAAAAATTTGGCTACGACATATCCGATAAGGGTCTGTCATGGATTGAATTGTGTCCCCCAAAATTATCTGTCAACTTGGCTAGGTCATGATTCCCAATATTATACGATTGTCTACCATTTTGTAATCTGATGTGATTTCCCTGTGTGTTGTATATTCTATCACTATGATGTCATAAGATGGATTAGTGGCAGTTATATTGATGAGGTCTACAAGATTAGATAGTGTCTTAAGCCAGTATCTTTTGAGATATAAAAGAGAGAATTGAACCTCATACCACCAAGAAAGCAGTGCCAGGAGCAGAGCACGTCCTTTGGACCTGAGGTTCCTGGGCAGAGAAGCTCCCAGACCAAGGGAAGATTGATGACACGGACCTTCCTCCAGAGCCCACAGAGAAAGCATTCCCCTGGAGCTGATGCCCTGAATTTGGACTTGTAGCCTATTGGACTGTGAGAGAATAAACTTCTCTTTGTTAAAGCCATCCACTTGTGGTATTTCTATTATAGCAGCACTAGATGACTAAGACAGGGTCTAATCTCTAAAATCTACAAGATATTGCAACACCTCAACAACAAAAAGACAAATAATACAATTAAAAAACGGGCAAAGAATATGAACAGACACTTCACCAAAGAAGACATTCAGGTGGCTAACAGACACATGAGGAAATGCTCATGATCATTAGCCATTAGAGAAATACAAATAAAAACCACAATCAGATACCGTCTCACCCCAACAATACTGGCACTAATCCAAAAAACAGAAAATAACATATGTTGGAGAGGTTGTGGGGAGATTAGAACTCTTATACATTGCTGGTGGAAATGTAAAATGGTACAACACTTTGGAAAACGATATGGCGGTTCCTTAAAAAGCTAGAAGTAGAAATACTATATGATCCAGCAATCCCACTCCTAGGAATATACCCTAGAGAAATAAGAGCCATCACACGAATAGACATATGCACACCCATGTTCATTACAGCACTATTAACAATAGCAAAAAGATGGAAACAATCTAAATGCCCATCAACAGATAAATGGATAAACAAATTATGGTATATACACACAATGGAGTACTATGCAATGATGAAAATGATGAATCCACAAAACACCTCACAACATGGATGAATCTGGAGGGCATTATGCTAAGTGAAATAAGTTAGTCACGAAAGGACAAATATTGTATGAGACCACTATTATAAGAACTCAAGAAATGGTTTATACACAGAAAAAACTTTCTTTGATGGTTACAAGGGGAGGAGAGGAGGGAGGGAAATCACTAACAAGATAGTAGACAAGTGTCAACTTCGGTGAAGGGAAGGGCAACACACAGTATAGGAGAAGTCAGCACAACTGGACCAAAGCAAAAGCATAGACGTTTCCTAGCTACATCCAAATACTTTGAGGGACCAAGTAGCTAGGGCTGAGGCCTGGGGACCATAGTCTCAGGGGACAGCTAGGTCAATCTGCATAACATAGTTCATAAAGAAAATGTTCTACATCCCACTTTGGTGTGTAGTGTCCAGGGTCTTAAAAGCTTGCGAGCAGCCATCTAAGACACGTCTATTGATCCCATCCCATCCAGAGCAAAGGAGAATGAAGAAAACCAAAGACACAAGGAAAATATTAGCCCAAAGGGCTAAAGGACTTTATGAACCAAAGACTCCACCAGCCCGAGCCCAGAAGAAATAGATGGCACCCGGCTACCACCACCAACTGACCACTCTGACAGGGATCACAGTAGACAGTCCCAGACAGAACGGGAGAAAAATGTAGAACAGAATTCAAATTCACAAAAAAAGACAAGACTTACTGATCTGACAGAGACTGGAGGAACCTCCAAGACTGTGCCCCCAGATGCTCTGCTAACGCAGAACTGAAACCATTCCTGAAGCTCCCTTTCCAGACAAAGATTAGACAGGCCTATAAAACAAAAAATAACACACGTGAGGAACATACTTCTTAGTTCAATCAAATATATAAGACCAAATGGACAACTTCTGTCCTACAGCAAGAAGGTAGAAGGTGAGGAGGTTGGAAGGGACAAGAACTGGACAAATGGACACAGGGAACCCAGGATGGAAAGGGGCAGTGTGTTGTCACATTGTGAAGATTGCAACCAATGTCACAAAACAATATGTGCATGAATTTTTTAATGAGAAATTAACTTGAGCTGTAAACTTTCATCTAAAGCACAATAAAATTTTAAAAAATAAATAACAATAAAAAATAAAGTTTATCTGTTCTAAAAAAAGGTGAATATTTTTGTAAAATTAAAAACAGCTTCATAAAACTAACAAAATATTAAAATTTTTTAAAAATATATAAGATAAACAAACTATGGTACATACACACAATGGAGTACTATGCAACGAGAAAGAACAATAATGAATCAGTGAACCATCGCATAACATGGATGAAA